TGAATTTATTCTAACTCCATCATAAGTGAAATCATAGAGAGGCAAACTCCCTAATTTTCTAAAATCAATAAAAGAGTTGTCTAAATTTTGTAGAGGTAATAACCATTGCATCCAGTTCACACCTGCTAATATCATTACAGAGCACCCTGAACATCATTATTATTATCATCAATATTTGACACAAATTTGCCATGCATTAGTGAATTATGTTCACATTATGGTCTTTTGTTTTGCTTTTGTTCATGTCCTATCTCACATTTTAACAGATAGTCTCATAGCTACAATAGAAATAGCCACTTTGATTATGTACATTCAGAAAGAGATGAGACAGCAGAAAGCTTCTCTTTAGTCCTTATCACATTTTTTAAAATTTTCTTTTTTTTTTAATGATGTGAACTCTTTATTTTTATAGGCTTTTCAAGACATGTTGTTTCTGTATTACTTTGGAGCCTGTCCTGGAACTCACTTTGTAGACCAGGCTAGCTTCCAACTCACAGAGATCCACCTGCCTCTGCCTCCTGAGTGCTAGGATTAAAGGCATGGGCCACCAACGCCCAACTATGATGCGAACTCTTGATTTCAGCAATCTGAATGCCACATAGAAAATATTTTTTCTGTTTTTTCCAGTTTATCTCATTTTGTTTGAAAAGACAATTATTTTCTATTCCACCATTTATCAAGATGAATCAAATATTACATATCCATTATTCCTTGCTAAACTTTAATGATACCTAAGTATATGGTTTTGTTTCCTTATTTCTTTTCATATACAGTCCATTATATATACTTGTTTCTTTTTTTTCTTATGAAACAAATGTTTTTATCCATTGATACTGCTGCCCAGCCACAATACATTTTAAAAGAATATAATGAACGTAAGGAATATTACAAATTGGTCACATTTTAAGATGTTTAAACCTACTCATCCATCCATGCCCCTTTTACTAATCAGAGAAAACATTTGGTGGAGAGTCTTAAATGCCAATTAATCAACAAGCTATATATTGTCATTTTCTAAACTGTAATGTCAACATGAGTTTTTTCATTCTCTTTGTTGTTCTGAAGATTTTAGAAGAAAACCACCATACTTGTGGGCTTGAGAATGATAAGACTTTCAGTATCAGGGCTTGCTAAAGATTAACACACATTACCAGAATTATGCTAAAGCATGGATTTATGAGGAACAGTATGACTACCATATATTGTAGCTCTAAAACCACTAGCCTATGAGCCACATCTATCTTACTGTCTGTTTTTTGTTTTATATTTTATTTTCCAGTTTAAATTTAGATAAGAAACGAGGTTGCTTCACAAGTCACTTCCAGGTCCCTCTCCCATTCCCTCCCCTCCTCCCGTGCCCTCCCCCCAACCCCCCCCATTATCCCCTCATTCCCCCAAGGAGGGTGAGGCCCTCCATGGGGGTGTCCATATTCTGGGTTGACAACACAGTAGGCTTTACTTGTCTTTGTTTCTATTTCCACAAATATTCAATACTCGGTATCACTCTAAATAGAGATATCCCTAAGGGATTGCAAAGATAATTATTTCCAGGGTCTTCATTTTGATCAGAAAACAAATAGGCACATTTGAGCCATGAGGCAATTTCAGAAAGTGAATATAGGTCCAGCTGAGGGGAAGATTATCTCTACACAACAGGAATAACTTCACAAGCACACATCAGATTGGAAGAAAATAGGAGCCAAAAGAAAATGTGTGTTTGATAAGTCATCACTCTGATAACTTTCTGTAAGTTAATTCTTTAAATATTTCTGGGTATTTGTTTTAGATGAGCAGTTACTTCTACTTCTGTCTTCTTTAGAGTCCAATTTAAGTGTTTTCTCTAAATATGCTATTCCATGTTTGTTCAGGTCCACATCAGATAATCATTATTCTTTATCTAATAACCTGTAAGAGTGGTATCCTGCTAACATTGTACAAATATTCCATTTAGCTTATTAAGATAAAATATTTTTAATCCAAAGAGTACACAGTAGATAATATTTAGAATAGAAATGGGAATTAAAATGTTGCAAGAAAGTAATTATTGTGAAAATAAGATCAAAACACTCTCCCCCAAATTTCTTCTGATAGAAGAAAAATTATTGCCTCTCAAGGATAGGCATCCTAATTCATTGTTAAATGTACAGTGGTCAGTTCTGAAACTTGTGCAACAACAAAAATGGATTCCATAAGTCGAATTTATGTGTATTTGTGCATATATATACATATATGCAAAGATATGTAACAATAAGACTCCAGGAAAAAGAGGCTAGCCACTTGAGGGGTAGCATGAGAATGGTATATGAGGATGGCATTTGATAATGGTTTGAGGAAGAAAGGGAGGTGTAAAATTATGGAATTCTTTTTCAATAAAAACATTTAAATAGTAAAATTACATACAGGCAAAAAACAAAACCAATAAAAACAAAACAAATAACATAACATATAACATTATTTAAGCTACTGTAATCTCTGGCAACATATTTCCTAGTTTCTTAGTCATCCGTGGAATCAAAACAGTCTGAGCAACATATTTAAAACAGGTCTGTTAAAGCATGTTTGCCTCCATGCATCAGAATTTAGCTGTAAGATACTTTACATTCATAGAGATTTGATCCAGCAATGTCCTACATCTATAATACTAGAGGACACAATTTAAAAGGTATTATTTGAGACTTAGTTCTGCTTTGCAGCAGCAGTCCCAAAGGATAGTTTGACACAAATAAATGTTTTTAGTAAGTCCTTTTAGTAGTGGCACAGCTCCATTTTGACTGTCAAAACTGAGCTCAACAAATCCAGTACCACTAAGCATCCTAGTGGGTCACTAATATCCAAAGAACTACAGCCAACTAAGGAATCCTAGGAGTGGGAGAAGGATACTGCAGTTATCTAATACGAAATAGTCAGCCATGAAAATGTATTTACAAATAATGTTATACACACAGAAGAGTTTATATATGTAAACAATAAAAAAGAGGGAATGAATTTCTTCTTTTCCCTTATATTAAACATGGATTCTATTCTCATCTATATTCTGAATACATTTTCATCTTCCCCTATTTCTCACACTTCCTTTGCATCTCCTCTATCATCTGTATCTACACCTTTTAGGGCTCTCCTTAGAAAGGAACACTTCTAGGAGGTAACAACAAAACATCATAAAGTAAAATTCATCATAAAAGTCAACATATTGATATTGGACAAGCCAAGCCAACAGATAAAACAAAGATTCCCCAAGTGAAGGCTCAAGAATCAGAGACCCTCTCATTTACACATTAGGAGTATCATAAAGCACTAAACTGAAAGGTATAGCACATATGCAGAGGACCTAGTGTGGAACCATGTAAGGACCACACGTGTTGCTTCAGGCTCTGAGTTCACCTGAGATTTCTTTAGTTGATTTACAGGGCCTTTCTCTCCTCATGAATTTGGAAGAAAACAAGGAGGATTAGTATATGGGAGAATCTGGAGAAAGAAAATAAAGGTAAAAATGTAACTATATTATAATCTTAAAAATTAAAGGAAATAATCCAGAAAAAACTAAGAAGTTAATGTTTGCCTGGAACCTTTTGAGATATCAAATAATTAAAAAAACAAGGAACCCAAGGTCTATGCTGTATGATCAGTGTGTTTTCCTGGGATATTTGATAAATCTCTGTAAGGTATGTATGTTTACTTATCTGTCATCATGCTCCCATAATAATTGAATGTGTTATCTGATGTTTTCAGACATTCTTTTCATCCTTACTCCACCCCTCTCATTCCTCAGAAAATAGGAATGTAAAACAATTGTGATTATTTCATATATTATTTCATTCTTCTCATGCTCTAGGATGAAAAAAAAACGAGACTGGTAATTTGAAAAGCATCAAGAGATTTACTGAAGGGAGCAGAAACTGGGCAATGATTATCCACCATCTGGCTTGAGTACAAGCACTCTGCTTGTGCTTTGAGGTGAATAATTGCTGCTCATTGGAAGTATAATGTTACACTCATCCATGGCTGAGAGTCAAAGACAACTTTGCTTATATGTTTATGTAATATATTCCGCTCTTTAAATCAAAGGTCATCAGTAGATGATTGAAATACTGAGAAAATATGTTGACTATAGATTAATGATAGAAGAAATTTATGTCAGAAAACTATACTCTTTCAAAATCACAGGGCTGTCAAAGTTGGGTTGTAAAATTTAAGATCAATATTTTCTAGCACTAAGACTGAACTAATTGCGACTTTACAAGCTCAGGTCTGAGTATGCTTTGCTATGCTCTTTGGTCAATCCATCTCTACAGGTGTTTGCAGTGGTATTTTGTCAATTAGTTTAGATGAGTAATGAATTCTGTAATACATTTGTTAATTTGTTAATGAATAACTGTGAACTAGGTTTGTATACTTCAGTCTGGTATCTGTGTATATCTTATATGGCATTCTGTTCTGCATGCGTCTTAATTGATGCTTTCCCATAATTTATTGTATAGTTTTTAAACTAAAATAAATTTACTGATGTCATAGAAACAATTTGGCTGATGTAAAATGAAATATTATGAATGGTGCTAAAAACGGTAATGTCCTATGTCAACATTTGCATTGATATTTAATGCAACTCCCCATCAGTTTCCAAATTCAGTCATCATTTTCATTATGGCATGTCATTATTGATAGCAAAAATTTTAGACATTTTAAAATTAATAAGTCACACACATTTTTGGTGTTTAAATTGCTGTCCTGCTTCCTCACAGCTCTCCTGTAGAGGGATTTCCTGATAGAGCACGTGTAATACAGACCTAACCCGTGCTTCTCTCCTTGAGGTGTTGCTCATTAGCTTTCAGTTAGGCAACAGTGCCATTTTATTTGCCTTCCATCTCGTTTTTATATTCATGGATTTCTACTCGGGTAAGTTGCATAGTGACTGTCAAGTTCTACACAGGAAGTAGACTTTCTCATATGACTTGTTGATAATACTTCTTTCTTTGCAGGGCATTTCTTAGGACACACTGGGTAAAATGGATGGAAGCAATCAGTCTGTGGTGTCAGAATTTACACTTTATGGACTGTCTTATTCACAGAACACACAAGCCTTACTCTTTGTGATGTTTTTGATACTGTATCTTCTCATTGTGTCAGGAAATATTGTCATCATGGTTTTAATCCCACTGACCGACATCTCCATTCTCCCATGTACTTCTTGTTGGCCAACTTGTCCTTTGTTGATATGTGGCTTTCCTCAATCACTACTCCTAAGATGATTGCAGACTTTCTAAGGGAAAACAAGACCATTTCCTTTGCAGGATGCATGTCCCAGATTTTCTTTGCTCATTGCATTGCTGGAGTAGAGATGGTGTTGTTGGTGGTAATGGCTTATGACCGCTATGTGGCCATCTGCAAACCACTCCACTACTTCACCGTTATGAGCCTGAAAAGATGCACTGGGCTGGTGTTTATTTCTTGGACTACTGGCTTTATACATGCCATGAGTCACCTGGTAGTGATTGTGGAGTTGCCTTTTTGTGGTCCCAAGGAAATAGACAGCTTTTTTTGTGACATGCCATTGGTGATTAAGTTAGCTTGCATGAATTCCCATGATTTGGATATTCTAATGAATGCTGGCTGTGGGGTTGTGGCTGTAACCTGCTTCATTCTGTTACTCATTTCCTATACATATATCCTTACCAATGTTCTCCAGAGTTCCAAAGCTGCTGCATCTAAGGCTCTGTCCACATGCAGTGCACACATCACAGTGGTGATGATATTCTTTGTGCCTTGTCTTTTCATTTATGTATGGCCCCTCAATATCACCTCACTGGACAAGTTTCTTGCTGTGTTTTACTCTGTTTTTACACCTCTTCTAAACCCAGCAATTTATACACTGAGAAACAAAGAGATTAAAAATGCTATGAGAAGATTCCTAAACAACTATCTTGGTTCCAAATGAAATCCCTAATACTCACAAATGTAAGCTAATTATTTTAAATGAGAAGCCTGACTGTATGAAATAGATTTAAAATCAAGAAATAAAATTTTGTGTCAATTTCCCTGTATAGATATAATTTAACCTTTTAAAAAGAATATGACATTTTACTGGTTAACCATCTAAATACTATGAATCCTTCATCTTAATGCTCTTTGTATACAGGAATACTATTAAAATATTCTTCTAAGTCTTTATTAAAGTTCAGCTTAACATTTATTGAGCAAACTTGTATGTTTATCTTTGTGATTAATACCTTATTTGATTTTCTGGGTATAATTCCATGCACTATCACATGCCCCAAATTATTCAATTTCTTTGTCAATGGCGAAAATCACCATTCTTGTTTTTATCACAGCTATCTAGCGAAAATAATAGTTCAGTGGGCAGTATTAATTGAGAGTAAACAAAAGTTATTACTTGGTAAATTAGCAATGGAATATACCTTGTGATTATTTTAATTTTAAACCAGATGCATGAAGTAAAGTAATAAAACATACAAAAAAGTTTGATGATATTTCTAAATTATCTCAATCTGAGATTAAAATTTGTTCTTTAAATTATTATGTATTACTATATAATATCCTATAATGTAATCTCCATGTGGATTTTTTCCATAAATTGACTGAGTATTTATCAAAACTATTTTATTCAATTCAGTGGTCCACACACATGGGACATTTAACAAACTCATTTGTCGTTTAAGATATAGTTCTGTTGATCTGCAAGTTTGCAGATATCTCTTAAACAATCCCTACTACATTTTTTCTTGTTTGCTCACCATAACTATGTAGATAGACAATATTGATAAATGCACAACACACTTTGGTTCCAGGCCACAGAGAACTCAGTCTCAAAATGACTTGAGAACTTCTTTCTATTTTATAGCATGCATGGTGCTAAAAAAGGAATTCAGTGGTCTTATACAGCTCCAGATCCTGCTTGGGAAAATACATAGCAACCTGGCAGGATATGTCCACTGCTGTAATAATGCCATTACTCTGCTGTGCTAACAAACTATATTTTGGATTTTTTTGATAGGAGAGACTATTGTAAAGCTAATTAGAACTCCCTAGCCATTTGATCAGTTTAAAAATTTCAGATATTACAATTATGGTTTTTATTCATTTGTATTTGATCTTTTTCAGAATGAGAGATAAAGTTTTATTTTCATTCTTCTTCAGGTAGGCATCTAGTTTTCCCAATATTTCTTAAGGATTCTGTCTCTCTTCCAGTATGCAGTTTTGGCATCTTTGATAGAAATCTTGCACTCTAATTGTTTGGACTTAAGTAAAGGTTTTCCATTACTATATTTTATTCATTTATCTGTAGGTACTCAAGTATGCCAGTACCATACTCTTTTGATAACCATGCCTCTGTAATATCGCTTAAGACCAGGAACAATGAACCAATAAACAATTTATGGTGTTTCTGCTGTTGTTCAGGAATGCTTTGACTATCTTTGTTCTTCCAAATCCTTGTTATTGGAGATATTGTGGGGTGACTGGTGATTTCTGGGGAGTTTGTAACATAATATAGTTTATGGTTTAGTGGTGTGATGTTGTTTTTTTGGAATTGGGTTGTTGATAATTTTTTTAAATAACGTGTCAGTCCATTTGTTTGTGTGACTTGGATGAGGCATGCAGAACTGCAAGAGCCAGGTCTCTTGCCACTCGGCCATCTGAGCTGCTGCCCAGCAGATCTTCTTATGGAATGCATAGCACTTAAAGATATCCCATTTTCAAAATAGTTAATGGTATTAAACATTCCAAAATTGTTTACGGGGATGATTGAAGGAAGTGTTATTACTACAATGTACTGAATAGTAACTTATAAACAAATCACAGAGATGTTCATTATCTTTGTTATGGAGATTCTTCACAGAGAATACAAATAAATTTTTCTTCATCTTATTTTACTTTGCTAACTAAATTTTAATAAATGGGCAAAAATGAGCTAGAGGTAATGAAAATTCAAATAATCAAAAACAAATTCTGATAGATAAGATCAGAAATTAATCAAATAGAAAATAGACTAATACAATAGGTGAATCATGTATTAGGTATTCCCAAGGGCAGAAATAATTGTGTGGGGAGTATGTGTTTATTTTGAGGAATTGGATCCAAACATAAATATATGACATGTTATGTTGGATGGGTACCTCAGGAACCATTGGCATAGTTGATATTTGGAGATGTAGAGTTCCAAGAAGCAGAATTTTATCTGTTTTTTCTTAATACCTTAAGACTGAAGAAAATACTTAAACTATAGATGATATTTATTTCATCAATACCTACTGGCATAAATGTTAATTTTACCGAAGAAAAATTTCACAGACACAAGTATGGTAATTCCAGGCAAATAGCTCAATATTAGGGTTAGCAATATCTACACATAAAATTAATGATTACTATTGAGTAAATAAAAAGCTGAATCCTTGCAGTGTTTTGATTTAATTTTGAATGAACTTGATAAACTGTACATTACTCTGATCAGTGAAGTAGAACAAAATAAAATGATTAGATAGGAACATATCAGTGATCTTAAAAGCAGTAAAGATAATAAAAATATGGAAAATTTTATACCTATATATTCTTCATCTTACAGAATAGGAATGAAGTTTCCAAAAAATCAGACCTTCCTGTGGTGATATATTATTTATGATTTATTAAAGCTTGTCTGAGGATCAGAAAGCAAAGCCAGCCTGAAGCTATAGAGATCAGCAGTGGTGATACACACCTTTAATCCCAGCAGCCATAGAGCGAGCTGTTTTGGTACACACCTTTAATCCCAGGACTCAGGATTAAGAGGTAGATATATCTTGGTTAGTTCATGGCTCTACTGACTACACTACATTGATGCAGTCCTAAAAGAAACAGCTCAAACAAAGATGATCTCAGCACTTGGGGCCATATGTCTTTAATTCCAGTACTAGGTAGGTGGAGACAGGAGGATATGGTTGGGCAGAGAATGGAATAGAAGGAGGAGGGGACAGAAATTAAGATTTTCTGCCTTTGAGGATGCCATTTCAGCTGGATAGAATTAAGATCTACTGTCTGGCTGCTTTGTTTCTCCGGTATTCAGCTTGAAGCTTGAACTGCAAAATCTGTCTCTGGGTCTTTTATTTATTGGGCTATACCTTCCCTTGAGATTCAGTGTACAGCAACAAACAACTTCTCATATTTCTATTCATTGTTGTACTTGAAGTGTTAGAAAATGTATAAAATGAAAAAAGGAAACAAGAATTAAAAATTGTAAAACTCTTTAAACCTGTAGATGGCACAAATTTTGTTCAGTAAATACTAAAGATGCAAACATCAATTACTTAGTACAATGAATGAATTCAGCAAGATTGTAGAATATGATAACTTAAAATTGACTTTACATTAGTAGGCAATTTGCAGAAATGAAATAAATAATTCTTTTTATACTATTAATATCTCGGGATTGTCTTTAACAAAACCATGTCATGAAAATTACATAGCACTATCAATTAAGGAAGATATCATAAAATAACAATAAGCAATTTTGTACATTGAAGGGACTCTAGCTGGCCCTAGCAGGGCAAGCAAGGCCCTGGAAAGTCTTGCCCTTCTCTATTCCCTTTGCCTTACTAAATACCATGAGATTACATTCCTAAAGCAAGCCACCAAGGTCTATTTCCTTACTTGGCCACTTCCTTCTCCTGATGCGGATTCAAAAGTTCCAAGTATCATTAAACTCCAGCAACCAAAGTCCTGTTTGGCTGCCCTAATTAACATGCTCATTTAAAATTAAACACTTCATCCTAGCAGGGAATTTCTCATTTTCCCTTTATAAACTGCCATTTTCCTATAGGTCATGTCTATCTCCTTTCTATCCAGAGGCCCTCTTTGTCCCACAGGACAAATATCACTTCCTCCTCTCCCTTGTTCTTTTCCTCTTTCTCCCACATCCTTTGTCTTCTCTTTTTGTCTCCATTTCCATGCCTTTTGTCATTTTAGGACAAATAAATCTCCTTTGTGGTGAGAACTTGTTCTCTGTGTTTCTTCTGATACTGATCCCATCAAGAAGACTCAGTAGACAATGAGACATTTACATTGGAAGATCATCCTTCATGTCTTTCCTCTAGCTATCTCTGGGTTGTGGCCTCTTGATCTGATGCCAAGATTTGTCTTTTAGGAGTTTCTATGTGCATGGATATTCAGCCTGAGATTCAATTAAGTATTTCTCCGTGAGGAAATATTATACAATATGCTATTCTCATCTCAATGAGCATTTCTTTTCCGTGCCACTTGGCTCTTGAATTTCATTTTCTCCCTTTGATCCTCAATGTCTTGTCTCCCCTCAACGTGATACTCTCTATCATTTATCTTCTGCTATCTCTCAGTATCTGTATTTGACACAAACACAAAATTACTTGTTAATCAAATTTTGTTGATTGTCACAATGACATTAATGAAAATTAGCTCGATAATATCAGGATCTTTACAAAAATCATTTTTTGAAGTGGTTTCAGGATTTCAAAGTATACCAAGACTTCACAGCTGTTTTTTATAGCTTGAGTTTTATGAATTTTCCAATTTTTCCTACTAAGTATTCCATGCTTGATTTTATTTTATTGCATCTATGTAGTTGTTTTTGCACATTTCTCCCTTGCATCTTTTTCCTGCAGAATGCCACTAGGTAGGTAATCTTTATTAATTATGCTCATTATTGCATACTTTATACTTCCACACATATTGTGTATCATGATTTATGATCTCCAGTTTTGTGCTCATCTATTTCTTGTAATTTTTGTGGCAAAACTCTTACCTAGTAATTTTTACTTACTAGGTTTATTTTCAAAGAAAAACAACCAATTTCTACTTTTATGATCACTTTTTGTATGTATTTACATATTTATGCTTAAATTTTTACATTAATTTTTATCATTGGAGTGTATCACTGATCCTCATATATCCATTCCTTCTTTTGGGTAGGTT